ATGAAACTGCAAGTACCTGATCCTGACACGTGTTTTGAACAGGATTGGCAGAGCTGCCTCCCAGCTGAAATGCAGAGCCATGTGAGCTCAGCCTGCAGATGTGCTCGTGCTGCTGTGCTGCTGCAGCCTGGCACAGGAGCTGCCCTGCACTGAGCTCTGCTCTGCCAAGGGCTGGGCTGTCTCTGCCGACCATGGGAGCTGCTTTGGGTGCCCCCACATGTTCCTGCAGCACTGCCAGTGATGACAGAGCAGCTTTGCTTTTTGCCTAGAAGTTAATGAACTAAGGTCTAACAGAACAAGATGTGTAATTGGGTGCTATTACACACAACTGCAAAGCCCAGAGGCATTCAGAGGCTTCTGAAGCAGTCGGTGGTAGAGCCTTGTTAAGGCTGTGCAACAAAGGTTTAGTGGGGAAGACACTAAACACCTGACGGTGATGAAAGCATAAACAACTTTTCTTTATTCCTTTCTCCTCTGAATTTACTTGTACTCTACAGTGGGGCTAAAAAAAGAAAACAAGGCAAACACTATTCTCCTAAGCTCTGATCCTTCTCTGCCCCCACCATAGTACACCCAAATTTGCTTTAACATAACTTCAGCAGAGTTCAGCTTTGTTGCAGATGTTTCTATTTTAGACAATGCCTGCAGAACACACTGAGGTCTTCTCTGAAGCAACAGTTGCTACCTCAAGAAAAAGAAAAAAGCCAGGACATGGTGGGCATCCAGGCTGGTGTGTGTTGTATATTTTCCATTGCTCCTCATCTACAGAGAACACCTCCCAAGGAGGAAGGAGGGGGTTTTGGGTCTTTTTGAATCAAGCAAACAAAGGGATTTCCACTTCGTGATCACCAGATATTCTTTTGAGATAAACAGGAGTGGATAAAGATCCTACATGCCTTTAAGCATACAAAATAAAAAACACTGACATTCTAAAGGTTTATAAATAGAAAACCATCATCAAGGAACCAAGAAGTCTGGCTTCCCCTTTGAACACTGCTCTCATCCTCAACGAGACACATTTTTTCATTCAACTTTCTCACAGCATTCACCTAACTACAGCTGCCAGCATGTTTTGCCAAATTAGAGAAACTGCTGCAGAAACCATCTGCTTGACATTGCTTACATATAATAAAGTATGGCTCAATACAGTGTATTGGAAATGTTTGGGGATCTTCACATGGGAACCAAAAGCAGCAGTGCTGACTCAGGCAGATCTCCCGCTGATGTCAGTGGGAATTGCACCTGGATGAGCTCTGCTGGAGCTGATACAGAGCTCGCTGTGCAGTGCCTGCCACTGACAGGAGAACATATGGTTATAGTTTAACAATACCAACTGTAATGGAGATGAGAAGGAAATTTTGCAGCATTTCTGGCTTGCTGCTCTTTTATAACTATCAAAAACACTTATATGATTTGTACATGTCTGCTCTGTAACATCTTTTCCCAGCTTCAAGTGAACACTGAGAAACTGCTCCAAAATTAGGTCCTACCTGAACAGCAAGAGTTTATCTGTTGATACAAAAACATGAGCACCAGAAAGACTACATGTAAAGACTAAAATAAAACTTCATGTTTTCCCTACAGATTGTACTACATTGCCTCTGGATGAGAATGCAGGCATTTCAACACATCCCCAGTGGTTCAATCTGAGGCAGAAATAAAGCCTCTGTAGAACAGACTCTGTCAGCCTAGTAGCAGGATACGTGTGACTGCTGCTATACCAAAGGACAGGGGCTTCTCTAATTTCAATCCAAATGTAGGTGTTACAAAATTACAGTTTCAGTAAGTGTAAAAGCTGAGTGTGTCACTCAGGTTATAGCATCTGTGAATCATGATCACCAGACCTGCATCTCCAGGGGGATAAATCAATTCCCCAACTTCCCATGAGCGGCAGAAGGCTGAAGAATGGCAATAGGGAAAGAGTAAAGAGAAGCTATGATACATGTTCCCACAGATCTTAACCACAGTCACAACAGAAGGGATTCTGAACCATCAGTAAGTCCTAGGAAGAGGCCACATTAGAGAACCAAATGCAGAATAGGTAAAATATTTCCTTTTGCAACCCAATAATTAGCATGCACCCATCAAAAGAGGCTGCAATTTGGTTGCAGCTCCCAGGCATGTGCCCTTTTCCTTCAGATACTACCAATAAACTCCCGTGTGTTGCATTACAGAGTTTCTGCCCCCCTGAGCTTAGCAGCCATGGGAACACTGGGTGTGAGATGAGCTCAGTTGATCAGAGCAGGGTATAAAAGGCTGTGGGTTCCATCCCCATATGGGCCATTCACTTGAGTCAGACTCAATGATCCTTGTGAGTCCTTCCAACACAGAATATTCTGTGATTCTGAAATTCACTTCCACATCATGTCTAGATAAACTGCACTCCTTTTGCTCAGGCACAGGGACACAGTGAAAGCTGAAAACCATCACATGGATTGTCTGGTTTTTTCATGTGATGAAAGGCAGAAGTGGCTGGAAATTGAAAATATGATGGTAAGGAAGATCTCACTCCAAATCTCAAAGTAGTGCACTTTATAGTAAGTGATCATCCTCACTGTCAGTTATTCCCCAGAGTGGACCTCTGGGTAGGGATCTTCCTGAATTTAGGTGGCCAGGATAGAGATTCTGAGAAGTTTCAACCTCTTTGGTTGAAGGAAGGTAACAACTTAGTGCTTGACCTCTGAATTGGGCAAAAGCCAATGCATGGCCACTTTATAAATTACTGCTCAATTCCCTCCTGAAGCAGGCAGTAAATGTTTGCATTCCAGTAAAGGGAGCCTAAAGAATCAATGTGAGGGACACAGCACCCAGGCTGGAGCTCAATGGCAGAGGAGATTCTTCCTGGGACTCTTTGTGAGGAGATTCTCTGACCACTTGTTTCACCTCAATGCTTGATTCATCCTTACCTGTACTCCGTGGTTCCTATAAACCCTCTTGGAAGAGAATCCATTTGCACGGGGATGGTTAGGAAGAACACTGAAGCATCATTAATATTCTCCATTCTGCAGTCTCATTACAGGGCTTCTACAGACCAAGAAAAATGTATCAAACAGACTTCGATCCCCAAAAACACAGCCCTTATATCATATGAGGGAGTGTATCTACCATCCATAGAATCACAACACATAATTAGGAAACAGTAAAATAATAATAATTCCTGTAGAACTATCATGCCATGGAAGACACTAAGTGTTAGAAAAAATATTTGAAAGTTAAAATAAGGATGTTTGGTTTAGAGAAATCATCACAGAAGGGGCACCAACTAAAATTCCAATGCAATTGTAAGCCAATAAGGTTAATTAACATATAGAAGCACCATTAGTTTGTCTTATGATATCAATTCCCACTTTACCATAACATTAAAAAGCTTTGGTCTGGGTCAAGTGAAGGAACAGTTGTGTCACTGCAGTTACTCAAAGGAACATGAAGTCTGTAGTTACACACAGTAGAACACTAATTTTAGTGTTTTACCAAAGAGGGACTTCGGTGGTGGAAAAATAAGGTCTACCAGAATTGCCATTCCTGAACAGCTGCTTACCTTCCTTATGACAGATCACTTGACACACCTTTGTTCTGCCTTTTGTGTGAACTATTGTACTGTTACAGCTCCTTCTTCTAACTGAGACAAAAGGTTTACACGAAGCATTGTGGATCACTGCTATAGTTTCTTTCCCTTTGTAAATGAAAGCAAGTCCACAATAATTCCATGCTGAAGTTGACAGTTAAGCCCAGTCAGTCAAGCTTTAGTTATTTAACTCCTGACGTCCTTGTTACTTTCACTCTTGCTTGTGTTGTATCTCACATTTCTCTTTTCCAGCTGGAACTGTAATTCTGTTCCCAGGGGTGACTGTGGGCCATCTGTGGGTCAGTGGTTTTGCCTGGATCATCAGTGCACAGCAGTCGGTCTCCAACTTGCCTCAAAAGCACCAAGTCCCAAAGCACGGCTTGGCACAGAAGTGAGGTTTTGTTCAGAGGAATCTGCCCAGAATGGTGCTGAAAGCAAGAGCAGGGCCATGCTCAGGGTGAATGGGATAAATCAAGAATGGGACAGAGCAGTGCCTGCCATGTCTCTCACACAGGAGCCCAGAGCAGCAATCCCACAGAAGAACCAAACAGAAACGTGCAAAGCTGCATAAGGAACTGAACTTCAGCTCTGGGCTATGAGAGTTTTAACACTTCATCAAAGGAGATGGGAGTTTGACTTTGGACAGTAGACTTTATTAGAAATTTTCTCCTCATTCATCAGTAAATTCACATTAAAATATGCTGAAGGCAGCTCAGTCTAAACATTTGACATTCTGCCCTAACAACAACTTCCAGTTTAAAAACTAGATAACTGATTCAGGCAGATTACTTGAAACATGTAAGAAACACAAACAGAAAGCAGCATCTTAAAAAAAAAGGGATGAGACTGAAAAACTGATACATTTCAGATGGAGCTGGGGAAAAAAAAAAAAGAATCAGTCACCCCAAGATGGGAAACAGTTAAATGAGAACTCCAGACGCTAAACAGATAAATAAACATTATAACCACACATACATTAAAAAGAAAACAAAGTATTTTGAGTTCATACCACATAAAAATCATAAATTTGTTTAAAAAAAAAAAAGTGACAAGCTTCCTAAATTATGAATATCCTAAATTCTTGGGACAATGAACAATTTGTTATAAACTGCAGAACTTTGGAGGGACTCGATTTGGTCTTGAAAACAACGAACTGCATCTTACTGTTACCAAGTCCAGAAATTAATCTGACACATAAACTGTTTGTTTCCTCCCACGTTTCTAAACCACATTCTCTTCTTCTAGAAAATACTCTGCTTTTTTTAAACATTAGAGCTTTTAGACATTATAGGCCTAATTATGTTGAGAACTGAACACGCAGAACTCTCAACAACTCTGCATACCAAGGTTTAAATATTTTTCAGAATTTACTGTCAAGACTTTTCCTTTGCTAATTTATTTTTATTTATTGGAGTAAAGTGTAGGAGAGAGAAAGAAAAATGAAAATCATAATGTTGAAAAATCTGTCTGCAGGATAGTGAATCTTGCAGGTCAGATTTTCTATTGGCATTTACCAGAAGCAACAAAGATAAACCAATCAAAGTATGAGAGATGAAAATTATAGCCTTCAGGACTGTAAACACAAAAGGCAACAGGTAACACATGAACCTCAATCAAATCAATGTTTTCACATTCTTTAGTAGTCCCCCACAGTGATCTGCTTTCACTGGTTCAGAAAAAAATATATATATTAAAAATTAAATAACACTTAAGTGTCCATCACAAAGATTTATATTTTGCTGTAAACAATTTTCTGCCATTTGCATTGATGAAGTCCAATGTGAGGCCAGAGGGTTCTAGATGTCTTATTGGTACTGTAAATAATTTTTCAGAGACAGAGGCAAAGGTAGAATTTCTATGTCATGCAGGCGGTCTCTACCAAGAGCAAAACGAATTGATCTTCGGCACAAGTCCATTAAAGGCAGGGGTTCCGCTGGAAAAACAGGACAAAGAAAAAAAAGAGTTAATTTTGCAGCATCTCCATTTACAGACAGTGTTTTGTTTATTAACAGAGATTCCATATTCTATTGATCAGTCATAAAGATAGTAATGGTATTGGGAAAACCTTTGCATCTTGAGACAGTTAAGATAACCAATAGAAGACAAGGCAGAATTTTCTACATTTCACCCATAGTAAGGGGCTGCAAAGTTTCACACTGAGCTTCTTTATCTGTGAGGTTTAAAATAATAATGCCAAACCACTCTTCAGGCCATTCTACCAAGCATGAGAAGTTACTACTCCTGAGATTTCCAGACCTCAAACAAGACAGGGAGTTTCCACTGTGTTTATAACACAACATTCATCATGTTGTGTTAACATCAACTACTCTGGCAACTTCTGACCTTTACATCCCAGCTCCTTCTGCAGCTTAGGAACTGGAAATGGCACTTAGGGGTAACCAAACTTCTCAGCCAACAGTGCTTTTCCTGCAACACTCTCTTAGCCTTTCTTTCTAGGAAGTCCCTTGGAAGAAAAACTAAACAAAACACCCTTGAAAATCTAGAGGAAACATAACCTTTTCCTCTGTGAATAAATTAATGGAGGAGGATTTGGCTGACTGGAAGGCAGTGTGTGTGTTCCCATATGTATGCATACAAACACCCCCGAAATATATAAACAACATCTTCAGATGTCTGAAGTTTAATTTAATCAAAGTGAATTAAGTATCTGCCAGAAGTGCCTGGCTGATAACATTTAAGACTGGAGACTCAGCATCTCAAAACATCTCACCCCTATATCCCATCCTGGCCTGCAAAGCTAACACAGAATTACAGGAACATCATAAAATTTCCACCTCCTAGTAGCAAGAATCATCTCTGTGACTGCAGTGCTGGCAATCCTTTTGCCACAGGATTTGGAATAAGGCTGTGAAGTCTTGTACCAGTTACTGCTATCTTTAAGAATTCCAGCCAGGCGGATTTTGTTGCACACGTTGGCTTAAAAGGCTAAGAACTTAAAAGATTAAAGGAAACTTTTCTTTACATGATAAAAGAGCAGTAGCCTTAAAATCCTTACTTGCACTTTCAAGTGGAGGGGGGAAAAATATTGGTAACATTTGGCCTATATTGGGAACATTTTATAAACTTGACAGATGTCTTACAAGTGCTCAATGCTGTACAGCACTCAGTGATTTATCAAGATCTGCTTCATGTGCCATGTGCAGATTTACATACTCTGCCTAGTGGAAGGTGTCCCCTTATGGCAGGGGGGTGGAACCAGGTGACCTTTAAGGTCCCTTTTAACCCAAACCATTCCATGGCTTTATTCTATGATTCTGTGCTAATCTATCAGTCTGTTAGCTGATACTTTTAAAACTACTTAGAAAAAAAAATCATTACAAAGCACAAAATATCCAGTTAAGGACTGGTTTGATATGCTAGAATTGTCTGCTCTGGTGACACACCACCAACTTAATGGATTTTCCATCATTTATCCGAGCATCACATTTGATTTGTGTCGTCCTCGGTTCACCAAGTGAATCAAAGTGGCTGCAAAAAAGCTTAGAAAGCATTCTGAAAGACTAAAAAGCTTTTTTAGCTTATAACCACTTCAGTGACTTGATATGGAGTCTACTTCTTGACAATGCATTTCATTGATAATTTTACCTATTAAAAATTACTAAATAAGAGCCCTCACATTCCATTAATAGAGTAACATTTTCTCTACATCAGTGATCTTAGTTTTCATTTTTTCCACAGCAGAATTATGGATGTTAAATCTTAAGGGATGAAGCTGTAAAATTCATTAACCAGGATTAATAAGCAGGAGCAAAAATAGCTCATGAGTTCTGGGACACAGAATACGACACATCTTAGAAATCTTACACGATAAACAACAATTTTCTGAGTATCTTCCCACAGTCTCTGAGGTCCCATTAGGAGGATATAAAATGAGGACTAGGAGTGTTAAAAGTCATTAACTGACCATGTGGTCTCTTTTTTTTTCCTAGACAAAGGAATATATAAAATGTAACCATCTGTGCAGCCAGGCACAGTGTTAATCCCAAACTTCAAAACACAATTTAAGGAAAGGTTAAATTATTTTTCAAGCTTGAAATGCTAAATTAATGTCTCCTGTCTCACTTCTACAGGGAATTTTCAAATGCTGAAGAAAATGCCCTCAAGTGTTTGCAACAGCTGCTAAATTGGACATACTAAATGTGTTTTGCAACTTGAAAATTGAACTATATTCTTTTTATTCTACCCGACAGCAGCTCAAACCTATAACAAATTCAGAACAGGCTAGTCCTACAATACTAAATAAAAATTATGTTTTTCTGGGGTACTGGCTGTAAGAACTTGAGAAAAAATTGTAATAACAACATTTTAAGTTAAAAGTGTATGTAGCTGTGCATAGTCCTAAATGAATAAAAAATAAATTCAGAAAAAGAAATAATCTTAGTTTTGAAATCATTTATGGGACAAAGGTAGAACGCTAAAATTAAAGACTGACAATTTTCATGCAGCCTAATACCATTAATAACCACTTGGTGTGTACCTAAACGCTGGCACTCCCCTTTCACCACATCTCACATTTTTATTACATATTTTACAAAGCAGGAATAAAAGTACCACGAATAACTCAGTTCTTCCAGAGGGGAAAGGACTGGTTCAACCTGAGGATGTTGCCATGCCATCTGAAAAACACAGACTTGATGGACCCAAAACACTCCACAGCACATTCAAATCATATTTCCAAAATGCTGTCTGCATTTGAAATCATATAAATACTGCTGAGAAGAGTCAAATAATGCAAGAGATGGGAAGATGAATACTCTGAAGTCACATCATTAGCTTTAACTTCACTACAGAAAAATACCTTTGAAAAACTTTTAAATTCAACGATATTAACTGTTTGTCAGAATATCCCACTAATTCTAATGCATATTAAGTATACCAAGAGTTGTATTTTTAAAACAACCCCCAGTGGATTGGAACTGGAACATTCAAGGCCCCCAGAAGAACCTGAACTAACCATTTTTCCAAAGTTACGTGAACTCCAGTAAAGTCTTTGCCATTAGAAAAAAGTAGGAATGAATTGTTGAGCTGGAATGCAAAATTGCAAAGAAAACACGATTCACAAGAATGGCTCTTTGTACTAAATTCCCAACCAGGCTGAGAAATCCAAGGTGAGACACTGCAGGGCCAGGGAGCAAGCTTTGCTCAGGAAACCCAAGGCTTCCTCTGGGCTGCAGCAGCACCCGCAGAGAAACTGCAGCTTTTGGGTAACACTCCTGGGCCAACTGCAGCCACCCTCCTGGGCATGATTTTAACTCTTCATCTTCTCACTGAAGTTTACACTGAGACCTCTTCACCCAAAGGCAGCTCCTCGTATCTGCCACATTACAGAAAACTATTTTTCAAGAAAAGAAAAAATTAATTTAAAAAATACTGCTTAATTGACATGTCAGTGTTTAATTCCTGTGTCTCCCCTTCTGGTACCTGCAGTACCAGTACCTAAAAAAAGGCCCATTTTAAACCTTCCTTCCATACACTATAGTCACACCCAGGGGACAATGGCAACACAACCACAGCCACTCCTCTTACCCAGAGCTGCTTTACACCAAGAGGGCCACAATATAGCTTAAATGGCTACTTAACATAATAGCTAATAACTTAAAAATTGCTTAAATATATATTTGGTTAATTACATTCATTAAAATAGCTATTGAGGAACTATTCAGCTATTAATAACACAAAATAACTGTGTTATTATACCTACAGATATATTCATTCTAATGGTGTCACTGCTGGGTTAAGGACAAAGGCAAAGAATCGTTTAAACCAGACACAACCCCGTGCTTGTGAGCATTCCTCCAGTGCACATACATTTTTGTGAGCAATTTGCACATCATTACCAGCTGAAAAGTTCATTTAGTTTTGGCAACCTGTAGTTATTTAACAATCTGGCACTCCAGCGAGGCTGCCTCCTCTCTGCAAACAGGCTTTTGTAGTTGAGATAAAGTCATCTAGCAGCTGATAACACTAAATGTTATTAACTGCAATGTTACACGCGGCTCACACAGAAGAGCAGCTCTTAGCAGGCAACACTTATTTGCCAAATGACAATAGTATTTAAAAAAATAAATTTGTAAAGCTCTAACAGCACCTCATGTTCATGGCTTTCATTAATCTATAAAGAATGTATTTTTATCTCATGTTATAAAAGCAGAAATAACTGGGAGGGGGAACCACAATCAGCAAAAGTAAAGCTGGGTGAAAGACAAAGGAAGTTTTCATAAGAACTGATGCCAGCAGAACTGAAGAAATTTTGGTTTTAGTTATTTTATATACATACCTAAGACACTGAGCTACCTTGTATTTTGATAGTTTTAGCCTCAAACTTATTAAAAACACTTATATTCAGCAATCCATATTTATGTTTCCAACTGCTGAAAGGCAGTTTTAAAGTCGGATTAAAAAAACCAAAAACCCAAAAAAGAACGACAACAAAAACAATGTTGAGAGACAGATGTGACTGCACACCATTAAATAAGAGGACATCTCCCTAGTCCTAACTTTGCTTTTCTCACAAGGGACGAGCTAGCTCCTTAAAGAGCTGAAGCCATAATGTATTTTTTTCTGTATTTTCTGTACTTTCTGGCAATTGCCCTGTTCTCCTTTCTGTCCCCTAGTCTTTACCTCTCTAGGTCAGCAGCACTGCAGTTCTGCCCAGCACTGCCTTTCATTGCTCCATTTCTATCTCGTACTTTGCCAAGATCAGCGACCTTGAGGGGGATGCTGTCCGCAGAGACTGATCCCTTGCCATGGAACGAGCTCCAGTATGACCGACACAAACATCAGCCTTACTCTGGGCCTGGCGGGATTTTCACACGCAGAGAGCAGGAAGGGAAAGCTTCTCCACGGCTTGTCAGCACTCAGCTGATGTCTCCCTGCTCTGAAGGACAATCCTCTGTCCCCTACCAGGGCACC